TCGACGACCCCTCTCAGGCAATGGAGGCCCTACCAGTAGCTATGCTACTGCCGGCATAGCTCTAAGGGTCATTGAGGTATCCAAGCCCCACCACCGTCAAAATCATGTACCCCAAGGTGGGGAGATTAGTTTCTGATACAATAATGTTTACTAATTTATCAAATAATTGATTCACATGTTCCAAAACATCTTCAGAATCATTTTTCACAAAAAGCGGTGGTGTTCCTGTAAAAAAGAAATCTTGGTGGAGCTAGAGGCAGTGTTGAAGTTGCATCTATTTCTCGCCACAATCTGACATCTGAAGGACTCATCTCTGAAGCACTTGAATCACTATCATCAGATAAATTGTCACAATCACACTCCATAGCGAAATAGCAAAATAATACACGAATAGTAACAGATCATATACTATTATTTCACAAGGACACTGTCTTCCACACTCTGCCTGTCTCGACTGCATCTAACGTTCCCAGAATATACTGGGCTTTTACGTTAAGGAGTTAAAACTTTTCTTGTCCAATTCACCCGCATTCGATGTCCACGCATCCAAAATCCATTGACATGTCGGTCACAGTGACCTTTACATGGAGTCGTGGCTTCTGTTCGTTGCGTTTGCGTATGGTACAAACGTCACGTCACACGTGTACTTTGAATGGCTGGGCATCACTAAATTCCCATTATTCTCCTTCAGTTTACTTCTCAACCTCTCGGTTATGTGAGCCCGAAAACTGCCGAAATTAGCATGGACCGTTGCTTCACCTGCACACCAGGCGCTGCAAAAACACATGCTTCATTCAGTCCAGGACGAGGTCTTCCATCCATCCATTTTCCTATTTCTTCCTTGGGCATAATTTTCTGTCTGAAATCCATGTATAGCGGTAACGTGTGCCCATCCGTCGTTATCGCCAGCATAACTGTACTGCGTTGCTTCTCTGCTCCCATAGTTTTTATGGAAACACTTTTTTTGCCCTCCTGTAATCACACCGACCTAGAGCTCTCTTGAAATACGGTACAGGGGTTACAGACTTACTTGGCGATTTTGCTGCCCTCGAACTGCAGCATCTCTCGGAAAAGGGCAAATCGGTTGCACTGGGTTCCCGAACGCATTCCAACAATTCTCCTTCAACTGCTGGATATTTACATTCCTTGCTTCAAAATGCACATTTAATGCAATTAGTATTTTCCAACGCAGCTCTGTTTGGAATATTCTTGTCATCAAAGTCGGATTTCCTGCCTACTGCATGATTCCCGTACCGTGCGGCAAACTGTATCACGTCTTAAACACGGAATTAAAATGATTGTGTCAGAGATCGTTACTCCAGCTTATACACGGACGCGACCTATACACAAGCAAGTACAGTATTTATTCTTCGCTCTGTGACAAGGGACTTAGGATTAAAATATTCTCAGTATGAACTCCATATAGAGTGGATAAATATACAGTGGAACTTGTTTCGCACTTATACATTTTTTACGTTTATACTTTGTTTTCTGTACGTCCTGGATAAATTCCTGTACCTCCCAAGCTAAATTATTTCAGATATGCAACTTATGTTTATATGTTTGTCGAGTTGGGTCGGTCCACGTCCTGACAGGGGGATGCAAGGATCAAGTAAACCTTTCTTTCGCCAGTCATCTTCATCTTCCCAATCGTTCATTCTCGTTCTTTTATATCATCCTGTCATTTTTCTTCTACCCCTTCAATTTCACTGCCCCCCACCGTATGCAGAGTGCCCTCCCGGGTTTGCTGTGCACGGTGACCGGTGTCGAATGCGTCTCCTGGCAGTTAGGGACCTGTTTGTTTCCAAACTTTTCCTTGTGCTACTTTCTGCTTTGCACCTAGGGATACATTGTTTACGTATTTTGGGGAAACGGTCGATGTAGGTTTCCAACACACTTGCTTTGGCCTGGATCTCTAGACGGGCAGTCGGAAGCAAACCCACTCCCGATCAATCGGCTCGGACTAGGTCTTGTACTGAACACCAGGGTTAGCAGGGGATCCATGGCAGGGAAGCGCTATGACATCTCCCCTCTGTATATCTTCGTGTCAACCCTGGCACCCCAGTGGGGTGTCACCTTGTTGGACTCCATGGTGGGTGGGGTCCCAGACAAATGTAAAAAAGATCGTTCCTCCAAATTCTGACCACCTACCCCGACTCCTGAGACTCACTCTGAGCTATCTCTTAGCCCGTCAGACAGCGCTCAGAAGGAATCTGCCTCGGAGGAAACTTCGGGGTGGACAGTCGCTCCTTCGGGCAACAGAGGCATAAACGGAAAAGTGGGAAAGAAAAAAATTCCCTTCAGAGCAAAAGAACTAAGATCTAAAAAAAATCATAGTCTCTCCTCTCGTAGAACGTCAACTCTGAGAAACACATCTTTCTCAGAGTTCCCTCCCTCTTTACGGCTTTTTGTGAACTACTGCCCTATATCGATAACTATATTGTCTATGCAACGTCTATATTCCGTTTGGACAAGTGTCGCAAGAGGAACTTGAAGATATGTTATCTCAGTTACCTGCCCCTTTGCTTTTTGTGGGGTACATTAATGCCCACAACCCTGCCTGGGGTGGCACTAGGACCGGCTCGAGAAGCAATATACTTGAAAATATTATTGACAACCAGAACTTAATTTTTCTGAATCCTGGCGAAAGTACACATTTTTCCGTGACTTCAAACATTTTCTCGTCTGTCGACCTGGATTTCTGTAGCCCATCTCTCTCTACCATCTTTGAATGGACTGTCCTTGGCGACCTGCAACGCAGTGACCACTTCCCGTTCTGATAAATTTCGATACTCCCGACCCAAACGTTGCTCGTCCTCGCTGGCTAATCCAACGAGCTGAGTGGAAACTTCGAGAGAAAAAATACGCGTTTTTCGGAAACCTACCCAAAGGATAATGATGCTATGGTTGCCCATTTTACTGCGCTGTTCTTCAGCGAGCTCAATTGCCCATCCCGAATTCGTCTGCTTTCACCCACAGACATCCTCTCGATGCCATGGCTGGTATGCAGACATGTGCCACCGCTGTGCCGTCTCAGAAACTAAGCATTAGCGGAGCTTATATAGTTCGCCAACCATGATAATCAGATAATCAACCATGGATCAGTTTATAAAAGATCACGATCAGAGCTATATTATATAAGGAAAGTAGGCTGGCGTCTGGATAGCTTATATTTCATCACTCTCTTGCCTATGCCCCCTAAAGTAATTTGCGGAGAAAGGTTCCGCAGATCGGGTGGAAGATTTCCTTCTCCGTTTCTCAGGGCTTCTGGTAAATGGAAAATTTTCTCAGCGTTCACTTAAATATGTGAGAATTGGATCTCACTACTGAGCACATCTTCACCTCCGTTACACTAACTCTTTTAGTTTCTGAAGCCATAGATGGAAACTGAGACTTATTTCTCGAGCCGTGTTGAGGAAATGCCAATGCTCCTTTCTCCATTTTCCTGTCGCCCTCGCTTGTGCCAAAAGATTCTGCTCAGGACCATACCAGATATATAATCAAAGTGCTTAACACCGGAAAATGCTCGTTATTTTCACATTTTCAACTTTTGGGATAAACATTCCTTACCATGATTGGCATGATTTGGCATGAAGCCATTGTTATTCCAATCTCTAAAGAAGGAAAGGACAGAAAATCCCTTCAAGTCACCGTCCAGTGTTGCTCACAAGCTGTGTCTGCATTTTTGTTATTGTAGAGGAACCAATGGAATTTTTGTGTTGTATTCAATGTTCAGGCTGTTTAATTTTGTTGCTGTGCAGTGCGTATCATCTAATTTCAACTCTCCACTTTGGAATTTTGGACAAAACTACAGAATGAACAAATAGGGACACCAGTGTTCTCTGGTTCAGAGTTGTAAAATGTTCACTAATATTGCACGTTAAAATTTTGCGGATATAAAGGAAGTATTGGGACTCAAGGGTATCAAGGAATAATGACAATTTTGCCTGTATCACACAAGGGTTTGGTTGATCCTCATCACCTATGGTGATGACATCAGCTGCATCGATACCTATGTAAATGAGTCATGTCATGCATATCGTAGATTGATATTTGGGAATTTGTGCCACCTCGAACATTATAGCACTACTTCTGCTCATGTGCATTTCGCACCATTTTAGTGCATCTGTGCATGTGCAAGTCAGCAGTGCTGACGCTATAGCATGCACAAACTCCCTAATTAATCTACAACATGTTAAGCGTTTCATGTGCACAGGCTTTGATGCAGCTGACATCATTTGGTGACACGCGTCAACAGAACGCAACACTCCTTTGACACAGGTTCAAAGAACTGGGTGCATAAAGTGTGAATATCAGTGCTCTTTTTGCCTCTGGGTGAGCTTATGCCAGGCCCATGTGTCTTCGAAGTAACAAGTAATGTACTTCGTCTGAATCAATGATGAGTGCTTCAGCTTCCAGTCTTGGAAAAGTTTTTCTCCAGTTTGCGTAATCCACTGAGCAAATGCTGAGATGGCTCCTTCTGGACATAAATTTAGCTTCACTTTTCGCTAGTAGTGGAAGGAGTAGAACCTTGTGGGATTTTTATTTTGATAGCCATACAAGAATAATCTAAAATCTACAGTTAGTTTACTGATGCAAATTAATTTTGTATAACTTGGGAGTGAAAGTGCCTAGTTTTCATAAGTTACTAACTTTGCTTCTGTTGAAACTTTAACTCATCATTCAACTATTTATAGTTAAAACGGTGGGAAGAGATTCTGGTGCTCAAGAAAATGTGAGCAAATGGTACTTCTCCCCCTCCCCCATGCATCACATACAGTTTTTATAGTTCTGTGACTAAATAAATTAAAACTAACATTAGTCTGACTCAAGCACGCCAGTTTAAAAATATTGAGCCTTTGAATTGCTCATATTATTCAATTTCAGTTATGCGTTTTTCTCACTTATACATTTTTCCCTTCAGTCTGCTAAAAAACATAGAGTAAATAAATATTTACTCTATTTTTAAATATGAATAACATTCTATTGTGTTGTTTCAGGATGCTCTTGACATGGTATTGGACCCTTTAGTTTCACCAAAAGATCTTCAACCTTGGCAACACCGCTTTATTGTGCAAGCCTTACTATCACAAGGTCAACACACAAAGGCTCTTGAATATTTCACTGTCAGGCAACTGCCTGTTCAGGGTATTGAAGACATTCAGTAAGTTGTTATTGTAAAATACAATAACTTACAATATGGGGCAAGAAGGAAAACTTTTTGTCTCGAGACCCTACATGTCACTAAAGAGTTTTCATAAAAATTGTGCAATTATGCAAATTAGGTTGTACATTGATTTGTAGATAAACTGCAGAATGTTAAACCCTAGAATTCTAACAATGAGTACATTTTACTCACTCCCTTTTTGTTTATAATCACAAACACGTGATCTTAGAGAATGAAGCTGTTAGCAGTGATCTTAAGGCAGTGTGTGGTTGGCCTTTCTGAGAGAAAGTTGTGTAAAAGCAAATTGTTCCCTTTCAGTGATGATTTTTTGAGAGACTGTAAATTTTACCTGTAAAAATTACCAGGTGTTGGATGTAAATAAAATTTTCTAATTAATATTACAGGTGCTTTCGGAATGTTACAGCAGTATCATTCACATCAAAATTCAGCAAAATAGATTCTTATGTGTACATTATGCATTTTGAAAGTTACATTAACAAGGTGACCACTTTGTGGAAAACGCAGGAAATTTCCATGCCAGAAAAAATACAGGGAGAACACAGGAAAAAAATTTCTCACATTCAAAACTTCCTCGATCTAGAATTTGAGCCAAGAGCTATTTCTTATTGACAAATTAATTGTTTTTGAAAAAATGCGTAATATATCTAGTGTAGAGAAAGTTATTTAACACTGCAGAAAATCGATTTCAAAGCAAATACACCTTTTGGTGTTACACTATACCGAAAAAAGTGTTGTTTTTTTTCAAAATGTCTGACGTTAATTTTTGGGGGTACTTTCCATGCCCCCCGAACATATTCACAATTCTATCTCTCTATCTTTCTCTCTATCTTTCTCTCTATCTTTCTCTCTATCTTGTCTCCTCTCTTCCCCTCTTCTCCCTCTCTTTCTCCACTTCTTTCTCCCTCTCTTTCTCCCTCTCTTTCTATCTTCTCCCTCGCTCTCTCTTTCTCCCTCTTCTTTCTCCCCTCCTCTCTCTTTCTCCCCTCTCTCTTTCTCTCCTCTCGCTCTTTCTCTCTCTCTTTCTCCCTCTCTTTCTCCCTCTCTTTCTCTCCTCTTTCTCCCCTCTCTTTCTCCCTCTCTTTCTCTCCTTCTTTCTCCCTCTCTTTCTCCCTCTCTTTCTCCCTCTCTTTCTCCCTCTTCTCCCTCTCCTCTCTTTCTCCCCTGCTCCTCTTCTTTCTCCCTTCTCCTCTCTTTCTCCCTCTCCCTTTCTCCCTCTCCTCTCTTTCCCTCTCTTTCTCCCTCTCTTTCCTCCCTCTCTTTCTCCTCTCTCTTTCTCTCTCTCTGTTCTCTCTCCTTTCTCTCTCTCTTTCTCTCTCTCTCTTATCTCTTTCTCTCCTTCTTCCTCTCTCTCTTTCTCTCTCTTTCCTCTCTCTCTTTCTCTCCTCTCTCTCTCTCTTTCTCTCTCTCCTTTCTCTCTCTCTCTTTCTCTCTCTCTCGTCTCTCGCTCTCTTTCTCTCCCTCTTTCTCTCTCTCTCTCTTTCTTCTCTCTCTCTTTCTCATCTCTCTCTTCTATCTCTTTCTCTCTCTCTCTTTCTCTCTCTTTCTCTCTCTCTCTTTCTCTCTCTCTCTTTCTCTCTTCTCTCTCTCTTTCTCTCTCTCTCTTTCTCTCTCTCTCTCTTTCTCTCTCTTCTCTTTCTCTCTCTCTCTCTTTCTCTCTCTCTCTCTCTTCTCTCTCTCTCTTCTCTCTCTCCTTCTTTTCTCTCTCTTCTTTCTCTCTCCCTTGCTCTCTCTCTCTTTCTCTCTCTCTTTCTCTCTCTCTCTTTTCTTCTCCTCTCTCGTTCTCTCTTCTCTCTCTCTCTTTCGTCTCTCTTCTCTTTCTCTCTCTCTCTCTCTTCCTCTCTCTCTCCTCTCTCCTCGATCTTTTCCCATCTTCTCTCTATCTTTTCCATCTCTCTTATCATCTCTCTTCTCTTCTCTTCTTCTCTCTTCTTTCTCTCTGTCTCTTTCTCATCATTCTCTCTTACATCTTCTCTGTCTTCTCTTATTTTGTATATCCTATTACTGACAAAATTGAAGATAAAGATTTTCCTTAAAAAAAAAATTTATAGACATCTGTGATTCTTTCATCAGATTATTTCTTTCTAGGTAACCATTTGTATGGATAAATAATCACTTGGACCAAAGTTACAAGTCCAACTTATTGCAAAGGCAGAATGTGCCAACAGTATTATGAATGTCGTCTCAAAAAAGCTTGAGTCTTGCCTTCTCCTGGAACTGTTTAATTGTTAGCAAATGACAAAATATTAACGATAATCTTTAACTTATATATTTTATCATTCCCCATCGAAGGTAATCAATTTTGTAATGTTTTATGATTTTTATTTTAATTATTTAATTTGCCCTACAATGCTCAGTTAATGTAAAATGCTCTTAATAATCATTAATTCTAGCTCTGTTTTTTTTATGATAAGATCTGCATGAGTTCAATGTACAACATAAAGTCACCTTAACCTGCTGCATTTGATGAGAGTGTTACTCGTACAGAAATCATTTTCCTGGAACTTCTGTGGAAATTATACTACCTTACTTGAATTGATAGCAATATCAATGAAATATCCAGTTCTTTCTTTTCAAACAACAAAATAACATTTATTGCAACATTCTATAACAGTCTCAAGATGTAAGTAACTTGCTATTATTTCATGAACTTAATTCACGGACGTTCAAACATTTCAGGTCAGTGTTGTTTTAATAAAATTGTCAAAAACTTTAGATAGTAATTGGTCAACATTTTTTGTGAATTGCATCATATGGTCGCCCTCATTAGGCTGAACCAGAGTAATAAGCAATTCCTTAAAATCAATGAAACTATTAAATTAGAATTGGTATAAAATAATAAAATATTGTACCCTTCCAGTAATGTCTAGAAGTACTTACCTGCCAAAAAATGTATAGAACACATAAAAACTTTATAAATATTATCACATAGTACAATAAGCAAATAGCAATAATAATAATAATAATAATAATAAATAATATTAAAATAATAATTATATAGTATAAGTAATATTTATTGATTCCACATAATAAAAGTAACAATCGTGTAGACGAGTCAGTATGAGGCCTTGGTGGAAGAGAGCGAAGTTACGTACTTTTCAGGAGCAACAAGCGCGCCATCTCAGCATTTGCTCAAAGGACTGGGAAACTGAACCTATCGAATGGGTCATTGCCTAAAATATAGTGTAGATAAATATCTGTTAATAATAACATTCAATAGTTATTTTAAATTCTACTTATAAATAATAATAACATTAATAATACATATCAATTATGCTTTGCAACTTACATCCAAATTTAACAATAGTTAGTCATTCTATATTTATAACTTGAATATGGTAGAGGCCAAGTTTTGACAATTTTTTTTCTTCTCTATTCTCCTTCTATTCACATATTGATAGCATTCTTTTTTCTTTGCTTCAGCTTGAAACTGTTCACATGTAAACAGAAAGTCTAAAACACAGAATACAAATTCTTAATTTATTTATATTTTAAGGAAATGTAATTGGAAAATTCCTTTACACTGCTAGAACCATGTGTTAAGCAATGAAAGCTTTCAAATTCACTTTTAAATTATGGAATTTGTTTATAGTCTTTGATATCATGCGTAGTTTGTTGTAAGATAATGCCCCTATTAGGGAACTTATTTTGATTAAGCTGTAGTTTCAAGAGTGCGGAACGTGTAGTGTAACCTTTGACAGGCTTTGTATTATGGACATCAGAATTTAAAGTAAAAGTTCTTTGTTTCTCCATAGCAATTTTCTTTGAAGACCACGATTTCAAATATGTACATGCATAGAGGAAGAATCCTTTGTTTATTAAACAAGGGTTACAAGACTCCAAACTTATGAATCTTGGTCAATTCTTCGCAAATTATTTTTGATAATTAAATGTGCAATCTTTCAGGGCATTATTCCCCAGAATATTATTCCATATTTTAAGTGTGAGTGCACATTTTGCCAAAATACATTTTTCGAGTTGACTCAATGTTGGAGCCAACCTAAGTTATAGGCGTAGCAAGATTTCCTGAGCTTCTGTTTGAGATAGAGATGAAATGTTATCCAATTTAGTTTTCTTAACGTTATCCAGAGGAAAATAGTTTCATGAGAAAATCTTACAGGGTTATTGTTTATGAGCAAATGCTTGAAGTTTTTCTTTATATCGAGGATTCATGAATAGAGAGACTATCTTGCTGGGTTTATGATGAGTTTGTCGTCTTGAAACCATTTTACTATGCTTACCAAATGTTTTGTGAGCTTCCTTTTCTAATAGTGTTGTGTTTTGTTCTTATGATGTTTTGCATCTGCACAAACAAAATTATTTTGTTTCTTCTTAAGCCCAAAGCATGTTCATTTATGTATATAAGGAATAGTCATTGCCTAAGATGCCTTGCGGACTCCACAATTTTATTATTGAGACAGGAAGTAGTACCAGGATTTTATAAATAATTAAAAAATAATTAAAAATCAAACTCGAACTGAATTGCTCCCTAAAGTTTGACAAAGTTTATTAAAAGTTGTGGTGTTGTTTTAGTGTTCCTTATCTATATGTGAAGTGATGCTTATTTTCTCAATTAAAATTTCACGGTTTGCTACTACAGATTTCTGGTTTTAGTCCAACAGTTTTACCTGAGTAACCCTCTTTCAAAAATTATAAAATAAATAATAAATTATCATTAAGAATATATTTACCTGTCAATCTTTTGCATGTCACAATTTGAGTTTTTATAATATTCTTAAATCTTTCTCTGTACATTTGTAAGATAATATATTTCTTACCCCCCCTCTCTCTCTCTCTCCTCTCTCTCTCTCTCTCTCTCCTCTCCTCTCCTCTCTCTCTCCTCTCTCTCTCCTCTCTCTCTCCTCTACTCTCTCCTCTCTCTCTCCTCTCTCTCTCCTCTCTCCTGCTCCTCTCTCCTCCTCTCTCCTCTCCTCTCTCTCTCCTCTCTGCTCTCCTCTCTCTCTCCTCTCTCTCTCCGT